CGCCCAGTTCAACAACGAGTTCGGCCGCCCATGCACCACCGGTTACTTCCGCACCATGCTCATGCGCGTCTTCACAAACGAGAAGGAGTCGGAGCTGCGGGGCTACCACAAGCCTATTATGCTGGCAGGTGGTGTGGGCACCGTCAGGCCGCAGCATGCGCTCAAGGACCCTGACGTTGTACCCGCTGGCTCGCACCTTCTCGTTATCGGTGGACCTGCCATGCTTATCGGTCTTGGTGGCGGCGCAGCTTCCAGTATCCAGTCCGGCGAAGGAAAGGTCGACCTTGACTTTGCCAGTGTGCAGCGAGGCAACCCCGAGGTGCAGAGGCGCGCGCAGGAAGTCATTGACGCGTGTCGCTCTATGGGCGACAAGAACCCCATCCTCTTCATTCACGACGTCGGAGCTGGCGGTCTGTCCAACGCACTGCCCGAGCTTGTTCACGACTCTGGTCTCGGCGCCATCTTCGAGCTACGCGAGATCGACAATGTTGACAAGAGCATGAGTCCACTGCAAATATGGTGCTGCGAGGCCCAGGAGCGTTATGTGCTTGCGGTCAGCCCTGACCAACTAGACTTGTTCAAGCGCATCTGCCACCGTGAGCGATGCGGTTACTCCGTCGTCGGCAAGGCTACCAAGGAGCAGCGTCTAGTGTTGAACGACAGGGACTCCAAGGAGAACCCTACACCCATCGATCTTCCAATGGCCACACTTTTCGGAAAGCCACCAAAGATGTCCCGCATTGTCGAGAGCCGCAAGTTGAGGCTCCCTGCCTTTGACAGCAGCTTGTCAATGTACATTCCCGACACACCCAAGGATGGCTTGATCGCCGAAGCCGTTGACCGAGTTCTCACCCTACCAGCCGTAGGCTCCAAGTCCTTCTTGATAACCATTGGAGACCGCACCGTCGGTGGCCTTACTGTCCGTGATCAGATGGTTGGCAAATGGCAGGTCCCAGTAGCCGATGTATCGGTAACAGCTACATCGCTGCTGGCTGGTGTTAGGATTGGCGAGGCTATGACTATGGGCGAGAAGCCTACCCTGGCGCTCATCTCGCCGGCCGCATCTGCCAGAATGGCAGTCGCAGAGTCTTTGATGAACATTGCTGCAGCAAGCCTCTTCGACAGGCTATCGAGAGTCCGACTCTCGGCCAACTGGATGTCTGCAAGCAGTCATCCTGGAGAGGGTGCAGCCTTGTACGAGGCCGTCGAAGCTATCGGAATGGATCTCTGCCCTAAGCTTGGCATATCTATTCCCGTCGGCAAGGACTCGATGAGCATGAAGATGAAGTGGTCCGACAACGGCGAGGCCAAGGAAGTCACAGCACCCATGTCGCTTGTCATCACTGCATTTGCCCCTGTCAACCGCACAGATCGAACATGGACACCTGCCCTGGAGAGAGTTGAGGATGTCGGTGAAACCGTCCTGATGTTCGTCGATCTAGCAGCAGGCAAGAAACACATGGGCGGTTCTGCCCTAGCACAAACATTCGGACAGATCGGCGATGAAGCACCCGATGTTTACGACGCCGATATCATCAAGGACTACTTTGACGCGATCGAACAACTTCATGAGTCGGATATCGTGCTTGCATACCATGACAGGTCCGACGGTGGTCTTTTCACAACCCTTGTTGAGATGGCCTTTGCCGGCCGATGTGGTATCGAGGTCATGCTCGACGGCATCGCGGCGTCAAGCGAACCCAAGGATGTTCTGGAAACACTATTCAACGAAGAGCTCGGAGCTGTCTTCCAGATCAGGAAGAAGGACGAAGTTGCCTTCAACCGCTGCTTTGCCACCTGCGGGCCGCCTCCAGGTATGATCAAGAAGATTGGTCGCGTACCTGAGGCCACAAAACAAGACATCTCTTTCTACGTCGGCACCCAGAATGTTTATCGCAGCACACGCCAGAAGCTCCAGCAGCGCTGGGCAGAGACCTCGTACCGCATGCAAAAGCTCCGAGACAACCCTGCTTGCGCCGACGCCGAGTTCAAGAACATCCTCGACGACAAAGACCCAGGCCTGTCGTACAACCTCAACTTCAAGCCTGCCGAAAACATTCTGCCCTTCATGTCGAACCTCAAGTCACCTTTTACCGCCAAGCCTCGCGTAGCCATTCTTCGCGAGGAAGGTGTAAATGGCCAAGCCGAGATGGCATTTGCTTTCCACCAGGCCGGTTTCACTGCCATCGATGTACACATGACCGACATCATCTCTTCGCGCGTATCGCTCGCTGGCTTTGTGGGTATAGCAGCCTGCGGTGGTTTCTCCTACGGTGACGTGCTTGGCGCAGGCCAAGGGTGGGCAAAGTCTGTCCTCTTGCACCCCAACACACGCAAGGAATTCCAGACGTTCTTCGCGCGCCCAGATACTTTTGCCCTTGGTGTCTGCAATGGTTGCCAGTTCATGAGCAAGTTGAAGGAGTTGATCCCTGGTGCGGAGCTATGGCCTAGCTTCGAGCGTAACGCGTCTGAGCAATACGAAGCGCGTGTCTGCATGGTCGAGGTGCTCGATCCCAAGGGACCCAACACACCGCCATCTGTCTTCCTGCACGGCATGGCTGGATCCAAACTTCCCATCGTCACCGCGCACGGCGAGGGACGCGCTCACTTCTCCAAATCTGCTTCCGCAGTTTCGAGCCCACAGGCGCTTTACAACGAAAACCTTGTGTCGTTCCGCTACGTCGACAACTATGGAAAGCAAACCGAGACATACCCATACAACCCGAACGGCAGTCCAATGGGTATCAGTGGTGTGAGGAGTACCGATGGTCGGGTATTGGCGATGATGCCGCATCCCGAACGCACTATCTTGAAGGAGGTTGGAAGCTATATCCCACGAGATGTAGAAGGATGGGGCGAACTTGGCCCGTGGTCACGCATGTTCAAGAGTGCTAGGCGATGGGTCGGCTAGAGCACGCTTGACGAGAGACGCGATTAGGTATGCATGGATTGGTTGGCGTTTAGGGAGGTTACTATAGGCATTTACGATACGGAAATGATAGATTTACAAGCATCCAAACGATTGTTCACCAGAGGCGAGGTGTGTTTTTACTTCGTACATCGTGTTAGGCATCCACTTTGCCAAGGAAATGCACAACAGGGGACTCTCCATCCTCGTACAACAAGCAAATCTGCAATCAGCTGTCTCAGTCAATAGATCTGGGTCAAGATGGGCGGATTTCTCTCAATTCTGCGAAACACAGCCAAGGCTCTTATCGCAGCAGCTTCTCTCTTAAGAGCTTTGTCAACCGAGTTCGATCAAGCTCTGAAGCGTGCATCACAACCCCCGGGTCTTCCGGTCCCCAAGCCATCCGAATCTTACTGGCTCGGCGACCCTCCACACCCTGCACTATGCGACGCAAGTTCGTCCAAACTGCCGGAAACTGTGGATGTGGCCATCATCGGTTCCGGGATAGCTGGCGCTGCTGTCGCGCGGTCGTTATTACACGAGCGACGCCGTCGCAATATCCGCACTACTGAGAAAGTGGTGGTCCTCGAAGCTCGACAGCTATGCAGCGGTGCAACTGCTCGGAATGGCGGCCACATCAAACCTTCAGTGTACGAAAGCTTCTCTCGATTCAGCAAGCTGTTGCCAAAAGACCGTGCCGCTGCTCTAGCGCGCTTTCAGCTTCTGCACGTCAAGTACTTGACAGAATTATGTGAAAGCGAAGGCATTGAGTCTGCCGAAGCTCGAAAGGTCGAGACTGTGGACTTTTTTCTGGATGACGAAAGTTTCTCCAAGGCTGTCGCTGATGTCGAGGAGTTGAAGAAATGGTTGCCTGAGGTTGAGATTGCGGTGTGGAAAGATGAAGTACAAAAAGTTCGATGACACCCTGACGTGACTAGCAAAGGAACTTCCCGATGCTGACGAAAATAGAAATTCGGCGTCAACAACAGCGTCGTCGGTGCTTTGTCATACGAAGCAGGCGCTATCTGGGCATACCGATTCGTTGCATCTATCTGGAACGGCCTTCTCAATGACTTCCCTGATACACTCTCTATCGAGACAAACACTCCCGTAGAGTCAATCAGCATCCCAGACACGGCGCCTGAAGACTTCCCATACGCTGTACAAACTACCCGAGGAACGATATTCGCCCGCCACATAGTCCACGCCACCAACAGTTTCGCAAGCCACCTTGTCCCAGGGCTACGCAGCAAGATCGTGGGCGCACGAGCCCACATGTCCGCGCAGCAACCAGGACAAACATTCCCATATGCTGACGGTATGCGCTCATGGAGTGTAGTCTACGGCGAGGGTTTCGACTACGTCACTCAACGGCCACCAGCCACCAGTGGTTCCAAAGGAGATCTGATGATCGGAGGCGGCTTCGTGCGATCGCTGAAACAAGGTATCGATCAAGTCGGTCGGTATAACGATGGCCCTCAACTCGACCCATTGACCGCCGCACACATCACGGGTGTCTTTCCAGCAGTTTTCCATCCCAAATGGGGTGCTGGTGCAGAGTTGAAGCAGATGTGGTCTGGCATCATTGGTTTGACTGGCGATTACATGCCATTCGTCGGTCGCTTGGATGCAAAGCTAACGGGCCGGGATATCAAAGCACGAAAACGCGTGGCGTCTGACAAGGACTCGTGCGGGGAGTGGATTGCTGCGGGCTTCTCGGGAGAGGGCATGGTGTGGGCCTGGCTTTCGGGTGCTGCTCTTGGTATCATGATTGCTGGTAGTGAAGAAGAGGACTTACCTGAAGCTCCGGGGAGACCGGGTGGCAAGTTATCGGAATGGTTTCCGAAAGAGCTCTTGGTGTCAAAGGAGAGGATGCGCAGCGCTGATGTTAGTAACCTGGCCAATTAGTTGTCAGAAGCAAGGCTATGGTTTGTCGATATATGTCGATGGATTTACGAAAACTTCTTTTATGACGATCGATTGTGTACTGGGCTCTATGATGCTATGAGACTCTCATCTAGTTACAATTCCTCTATTCCCAACGCTGTCGATTGCTTCATTGTCATGTATTTCAAATGTAGGATGCTTCAGTTCAAGCAGCCTCTTTCTCTACATCTTTTGACGCTTGTTTTGCTGGCTTTCCCGCACGTTCTTTGATGCTCCTCCATTCCACCATCAACGCTCCAATGATGGTGCAAGCGCTGAGTGCTGCTGCTAGCAGGAACGTCCGAGTTATTGAGTAGCTGTACGCCGATACCACCGTATCGATCTCGTTCGCCGCTACCACTTTTCGGAGGTCTGTTGCACCGGTGTTGATGATGAGTTCAGTATCGAGTTTGGAGTTTCCCGATAGTTGCTTGACGAGCTGAGTCGAGAAAAGATTTTGTCCAACAGCAAGGAAGATAGCACCACCCTGTTGATTTAGGAAGAAGACTATAGGTTTACGAAGTCAGCGTATGTTCAACATGCAATTCTTACAGAGAAACTTACTCATCGCCATGCCGAGGGAAACATCTGAGCGCGGCAGAATAGTCTGCGGCACCAAGTTCGCTGTTTGAGCCCCAAAGCCAAGCCCGCACCCGTAGAAGATCTGATAACCAATCCATTGACCAGCGCTCGAATCCGGCGTAAGTGTAGAAAGGAGGCCACTGGCGATTGATGCGACAACGGCCGAAAGGAGCATAGCAGGGACATAATATCCGATCTTCTGAGTTATCACTGCTGTAACAATGCCGAAGACAATAAGCGATGTGCACAACGGTATCGTGCGTACACCGGCCTGCATGGCAGACTGGCCCTGGGCTGCCTGGAACCAAATGGCGATGTAGTATACAGTGTTCATCATACCGCCGGCGAGGAGAAAGATGAACAGCATAGCACCGCCCATCGAACGGTTCAAGATGACCCGAGGCGGGGCCATGGCTGTATCCGGCATCGTAAACTCCACAACCAGGAATGCGATGAAAGTAATTGCAAATGTGACGAGCAGGCCGATGATCCTCGGTGCTGACCAGGCATCGGTCGTACCTCCCCACTGAAGAGCGAGGATAAGGCATACCATGGATGGTACGAAGAATAGAAGACCTATTGGGTCGAGGCGCTTGAGCTGAGCGAGAATGGACAGCTTCTCTTTAGGCGTGGAAGGAAGATCCAGAAAGAAGAATATGCATGCGAACGTCAAGGCACCGATGGGGAGATTTATGTAGAAGCACCATCTCCACGTCAAGGTACTATTTGCGTGTTAACCGTGACTCACGAAGAAAGCTGGGAGACTTACGGGTTGTCCGTAAAGGTACCCCCAACGAAAGGCCCCAACACAGATGACACTCCAAATGCGAGACCGAGAAAAGAAGTGAAGATGGGTCGCCTTCGCAATGGCACGAGAGGTACAATGATCATGACCGCACCACATTGAAGTCCAGCTGCACCAATACCAGCGATTGCGCGACCGATGATGACTTCAACGAGGGTCAGCGAGTGCATCATCTCGCGATTCGGTGGATTACTCACGAACAACAGAAGTAGGTGCGGCCCCACACAATGCACTGCCAACTTCGAACAGGAAGACAGACACCAAAAACGTCGATTTAGTATCGTAAAGCTGGTATATTTTGCCGAAGAGTGGATTGAAGATTGCGCACGTAAGCATATAGCCACTACCATACCAGCCTATGTCCGCGATAGTGCCGTATGTGTTTGTGATTGCCGGTATAGCAGTAGCTAAACAGTGTCAGTAAGGACTGAAGACGGAGCAACTTCGCGTACCAATGATCATGCGGTCGAGGGCGACAAGGAAGAAGGCCAGATAGATCGAGATGATGACGAGCCAAAACTTGAGCGTTTTGGGCTTATAGTTCTCCTCGGAATCTGCGTACTCGTTGCCTCCAGAGGCTGAAGGTGAGGCATCCTTTCTAAGCTCTTCGTGCAAACTAGCGGGATGGGCCATTGTTGTAGTCCCAACTTGAGATGTTGTAGTCATGGCGTAAACTTCGGAATAGGCGCAGTGGGGTTCAGTGGGAAACTTGAGATTGGATATACTAGAACATTGTCAAGAGAAGCTTGGCTGTTATATGTACATTCGGTATGTGCAACGTCCCGAATGGTGTTTTGCAATACAATCCCGTTCGGGGAGTAGAAATGTCCGACATGGAAGCGGTCTACGCAAACATTGGAAGCGAACTTCGACCCGTTGCAGGGTAATGAGTGATCCAGGACGGGTTGGGGATACTAGAGTTTCTCCGAACGCATACTAACGATTTGATGTGTTGTGACGATTCAATGTCCTGAATGCCCAGAGTTGCCCGGTGTTCGGTGGGAGAGAGATCACGTGATGGGCTCGGGGATTAGATCTGACCGAGAGGCTGGCCGCACTTTACTCAGGCGTCGGTGCGCGTCATCACGCCCTTGCGGATCGAACCTCAAGTCCAGACATCGGAGGTGGTAAGCGTGAATAAACGCGAAGATTGCGGAGATGTTGGGATGGATGCCATCCCGTCACTGCTGAAACAAGAGAAAGAAGTGGCTGTGGTTGACGAACGCGACTGAAGCGGGAAGTGCGGTTTACGTAAGCCTCACGCGTCGTGATGGTGGCATCGAGCCTGGGCACCCTCTTGCGCCGGCCTGCCTGCCTGCTATCCTGCGAACCGCCCTCTTCGTCGCAAGGACCCATATTTCTCACATGAAGCCACAATGCTCTTCCGTTGCAGTCAGCCCGGGGATAAGCAGAGCCAGGCGAGCGCCTCGCGTCTGGTTGCCTGGCTACCTGGTTAGCGCCTGCCTCGCCACCTGCTCTGTGGTGGCCTTTTCCACTCCGCGCTCGCATACCTGATCAATACCGCTGTCACGAAAGCGAGCTCGTTCCCTTGACATGTCGTCTGATATACCCACACCTGAACTCAGCGCTGATGCACTGTCTCCATTAGCGCATGCAAGCAAGTCTCAGCGCGTGCTTTCGTGCGTGCTATGCGCGCAAAGAAAGGTCAAATGTGACCGGGCTTTTCCTTGCTCAAACTGCAAGAAGGCGGGTGTGCAATGCATTTCCGCAGCGACGCAACCGCGGCAACGACGTCGCAGATTTGCCGAACGGGAGCTGCTTGAGCGTCTTCGCCACTACGAAGACCTCTTGAAGACGAACGGCATTGCCTTCCAACCCTTACATGCATCTTCGAACTTATCCACAGGGCCCCACGAAAGTAACGTCAGTCGCGGTCAGGAGATTTCCAGAGCTCAATCGTCCACCATATCAGATACCGACAACACCCAACCCAAGTACGCAGAAACTGTAGCACTTGAAAGAGACACTACTAACTGTACTAGGAGTTTTTGGCTTGCCTTAAACCGATTAGCATACGATGCTGATGACGACGGCAGCGACGACGATTCCGAGAACAGCGGCTCTTCGCAACACGCATTACAGCAAGCGCAGATTGTGCAAGCCTGGGACAACCTCTATTCGCAGAAACTACACCGTAACGAAGATCTCTTGTTCTGCTCGCGTAGTACGGCCGTCGACCTATCAGTTCTCCATCCCCCACAAAGCCAGGTGTTCAAACTTTGGCAACTGTACCTTGAGAATGTCGATCCATTATTGAAGCTCACCCATACGCCTACCCTCCAGCCACGCATCATCGATGCCGCTAGCGACATCTCACATATCGATCCACATTTGGAGGCCCTAATGTTCTCCATCTATTGCATGGCTATTTTCAGCCTCAATCAGGAGCAGTGTCAATCATGGTTTGGTAGGCCTAAGCCGGACCTGATCAGATCTTACCAGTTGGGTGCAAGGGAGGCGCTGCTCAATTGTAACTTCTTGAAGTCTAACGATCGAGAATGCTTGACAGCCCTTCATCTCTACCTGGTCTCACTCAAACCAGACACAGACCCACGGTCATTGTCTTCGATGCTAGGGGCTGCTGTTCGCATTGCTCAGCGAATGGGTATCGATGCCGAATCTGCCAATTCCAGACATTGCGTGCTAGAGGCCGAATTGCGCAGAAGACTATGGTGGTCTCTCTCACTCTTTGACAACAGGATGTCTGAAATGACCGAGAGCAAGTCCACTACATTAATCCCGACATGGGATTGCAAAGCGCCGCTCAACGTCAACGATTTCAACTTACGAGTCGAGACCAAGACCCCTCCTGTTGAGTCTGAGGTGGTTTCCGAAGCCTTGTTTCCAGTCATCCGTAGCCAGATTGGCGAGTTCATTCGTCAAAGCCCATCTCATTTGGATTTCATCAATCCGGCCCTGAAGTCTTTCTCCAAGAAGGCATTTGACGCCTCCTATTCAGGGCTTGACGAGCTTGCCGCTTTTGAGTCAACGATAGAGCAAAAGTATCTTACGCGTTGCGATGCTCAAAACCCGCTGCACTTTCTAACCATGTGGATGGCGCGCGCGTCACTCGCAAAAATCGGATTTGCACAATACCTATCAAACAACTCGAAGGGACTTGCGCAAGGAAGTGAGGAGCAGCGCAACGTTGGTCTTGGATTTGCGCACCGTATGCTTGAGTGCGATACGCTGCTCATGACCTCACCCCTCATAGCAAATTTCCGCTGGGTTGTCTACATGCACTTCCCGTTCCCTGCCTATATTCATCTCGCCCAAGAGTTGAAAATACGCCCACTAGGCCAACTCGCAGATCGATGGTGGCAGGCAATGAGCGAGAACTGCGCCGCTCGGTTGATGGACTTCGAGAAAAAGGACAGCCCGGTGGAGACCAAACCCAACAACCCTTTCTTCACACTCTTTGGGGGGCTTGTTCTACAAGCTTGGTCGGCACGTGAAGCAATAACGTCCGAACAATCGGATCCACCAGCTATCGTGACGCAAATCAGACAAAAGATGGCCCTAAGGGACAAACTAGCGGCAGAGTCGCAATTCCAGACGCCAGGTCTTGATGATCCACAAACGTCCGAGCTCATTAGTTTGGACAGTCTCGGCTCCCAATCGAGCGTTACCCGTGGCAGCATGAATCTGGGCTGTGTAGCTTTCCCCATGGAACAAGCTTCGATGAACTACAATGGCAATCCATGGGATTGGCCAATGCCGGCTTGGGCTGGAATGCCCGGTCAAGGCTGGTGAACCTTCCGTGTTCACGCGTAGATCCTCTTGTTCGATGAGTACCTCATGCGACACGTGATCGTGCCCATAGAAGCCATCGCCAAGACGGGCTGCTCTTTGTATCAATAGACTGACTCGAGCAGTGAGGACCAGGGTGTCTCAGCTGTCACGACAGATTCACCGAGCCTCCCTTTCAGTTTGAGTCAAAAGTCCAGTGCAAGCGCCGCCTTCGTCTCGGCTGACCTAGCCGCATTCACACCAGGATACCCCAATCGCCTTCTGCACTCCGGCCGTTGTGCCGGCAGCCGTCACTTCTTACCTTTCAACGTCATGTATCGCAGCTACAATGGATTGCGTTGCTGAAATTTAGAGTACATTATAAAGCCGGCTTTAAATCGTGTGGATCCGCCACGATACCTCCGATAGAGCTGTTCCTGCAATTCCCATGCGCTGGGAACAGGGGCGGAGTTTTGACGGTGGTTATTCACATGAAGTTCTTTTTTTGTAGATAACGTCTCCCTGATGGGCGCAGGGGTGGGGTGGAGCGTTGGCCTTGGCGTTTCAAGCAGCCTGACATGGAATCGATAATTGCCAGCTGGCGCGTGTAGAACCACCGCCGCAATCCTTCAGCAGGCCGTTCAGGATGTACTGTATGAAATACTGTCAGGTATAGCACTTTGTCGGAGGAAAAGGCACATGTCCCCATGAAAATGTGGGAACTGGGGTCATCGCATCAGCATAACAACTCATTACAACAATGCGACACTCCACATCACGACCCAGGAGCCGAGATCCATCCGATCTTTTGCTTGAGGCGCAGTCAACAGCATGACTCCAGGAACACCGAGCATACCGATAGTGGCATCATCGCTAACCTGCCTGGGTCTCCCGGCCCGCTACCGTTGACATGAACCCCCTGTTAGGTCCGGATCTGGTGCCATTAGCGCTATCGAAGATACTAAAATACGATATATAGGTGAGCATATACAGGGTAGCTACTCACGAACGGTTCCCATCTTGGCAGTACGCTATCCTCTTCGATGCTAGGTCTACAATCCCCTCGTTCGTTTCAATGTTATCCATTTTTGCAAACTCCTATGCGGGTCACCGTTATGGGATCGTGGCTGGGACGGGTATATAGATAGTTGACGCCAGTCCTCCGATTCCTGCCTCAGGCCAGTTGTCTGATTTCACATCCAAGATGCAGGTCCGCACTCTTTTCGCCGTGCTTTCGGCAGCCACTCTTTTACAATTCACCAACGGTCTTAATGCTTGCCCTGGCAACGACGATATTTTTACTGGAGCGGAAGGCATCAGATATCGAGTTTGCCCCGGTACCGACCTTACAGGACCTACGAAATCGATCACGCGCGTTGCTTCGGTTACAGCATGCGCAAAACTTTGCGACAAGAGTATGGACTGCTTCAAGGCAGTGTTCGATACCAAGACGAAAGATTGCCACTTCAAGGATCTTGCCGGCCTGAATTGGGTTGCCAACGATCGCTTCCAGGTCATTCAAGCAGAGCAAGTGAACATCGCTCGCTGCCCTGCTGGCGAATGGACGTATCACAGAAACAGGGTAAGTCTGCTCCCCAGTAGCTTGAGACACGCGGATATTAACATTGCACCGCTAGAAACAATACAGCATCTGCCCTGGCACCGACATCCGCGGACCAAGCGAGAAGGTATGGCAAGGCGTGAACACATTTGATACCTGTGCCTACCTTTGCGCCAACTGGGCCACATGTACCGCCGCTGTCTACGATTCTGCCAAGAAGGCTTGCCACATCAAAGCCGACTCGCGCAGTAACACTTTGATCTGGTCAACCGACAAACGCTTCGATGTAATGCGTCTCAATGTAGCGCCTGCGCCTGCGAAGAATGGTGAATGGTCAGATCTTATCCGCCTGCCCGTCATCCCGGTTGCTGCATATGTCGTCCCGGAATACCCTGTCTCGGAACGTCTTCTCGTATTCTCGAGTTGGGGCGCTGATGCTTTCGGAGGTGCTGGTGGACGCACTCAATTTGCGGACTACAACTTCAACACGTAAGTCATAGTGGTCCAGTATCATCAACGCACGCTAATATTCTCTCAGCGGAGCTGTTTCAGCTCGTACAGTGAGCAACACTCATCACGACATGTTCTGTCCCGCAATGAGCAGTCTTCAGGACGGAAAGCTTCTGATCCAAGGAGGATCTGACGCTTCCGCGGCCAGTCTTTATGATCCAGCATCAAACGGATTCACTCGTGCACCCGACATGTTAGTCTTTTCTAAGTCAATGATATGAACTTCATACTGATGGTACTTAGGAAAATGGCTCGCGGCTACCAATCATCCACGACGACATCCGACAACCGCGTTTTCACCATCGGAGGTGCATACTCTGGTCCACGCAAGGGTAAAGACGGCGAAGTGTACGACCCTGCCACCAACGCCTGGACGGCACTGCCAAATGCGAAGATGAAGGCTATGCTCACGACCGACCATGAAGGCATCTGGCGTGAAGACAACCATGCATGGTTGTTTGGTTGGAAGAACGCCTCCGTTTTCCAGGCCGGTCCAAGCAAGGCCATGAACTGGTACGGTACCAAGGGAACTGGATCGCAAGTCGCTGCTGGTATTCGTGACCCCATTGATGATGCGATGTGTGGAATCTTCGTCATGTACGATGCCACTGCTGGCAAGATCTTGAGTGCTGGCGGCGCGCCTGACTACACCAACGCAGACGCCAACGCTCGGGCCCACATCACTACAATCGGCGAGCCGAACACCCCTGCCAAGGTTGAGCGAGTCGCGGACATGGCCTACCCTCGCGGTTTCTCTAACGCGGTCGTTCTGCCTGACGGAAAAGTTCTCGTAAGCGGTGGTCAGAAACGCTCATTGGTCTTCACCGATACGGATGGAGCTCTCTACCCAGAATTGTTCGACCCAGCCACCAAATCTTGGAAGACTCTAGCACCACAAGCTGTCCCCCGCAACTATCACTCAGTCAGCATCCTGTTAGCCGATGGACGCGTTTTCTCCGGTGGCGGTGGTCTCTGCTACGTCGCGCAGGGAGTTGGCCGCAGCTCCGCCAACTGCAACAAACTCGTCGACCATGCCGATGGCCAGATCTTTTCCCCACCATATCTCTTCAACAACGACGGTACCCCCGCAACCCGACCAGTCATCAGCTCTTTGAGCGCGGAGAGCGTCAAGGTTGGAGGCAAACTGACCATCCAAGTTGAGACGTCTACACCAGGCCTCAAGTTCGCCTTGGTCCGCATCGGCAGCGTCACACACTCCGTCAACACCGATCAGCGCCGCGTGCCTTTGACCAACGTCAAGGGTGATGGATGCAGTTACACTGCTACACTGCCTGACGACAGCGGCATTCTCATCCCAGGTGCCTACTACGTCTTTGTCATGTCGAAGGAGGGAGTTCCTAGCATCGCCCGGACTGTACAGGTCGTACTCCCATGAGTTTACCGTGGCACTGATAGACCCACATACTGGATGTCGCAACGCTCTTTACGCACCACTCGCTTTCATACGTCATCATCACATTAGCCTAACCCATAAGTCTCTCATTTCCCTACATAGTTAGTATATAATGTATATTACAAGATAATGTATACTATGAGTGCAGAGGATGAGCAGTCAGAAGATCATCCTCATGTTAAAAATTCTTCGTATGGATGAGTGATTTACCAGCAAGTTTGCCTGACTTCGCACATCCCGGCAGTTGAGCATCCCCCAAGGATCTAAACCTCATCGCATCTTTCGGCTAATATCCTAAAAGCAACCAGATTGTACTGAACGTATCACCCGTGACAGATGACACATGTGCTGTCAACGTGGGAATGTAGGCTCTAGTCGGGCTAGCTTATAAATTTTGGTGACACTATGCCGGCCGTTAGTTGCCTGACACCGCTCACGAATTGTGTACGTCAGCTTTTGTCAGCCCCTTAACCTGCATATGATTACACCTAAACCAATTGTACGCTCTCAGCAAACCGCAATTCCTAGTTGTCACTAGACGCCCTAGCCCCGCTAACTGTCACTGTTCTTCGGACTCCGAGGCCTGCTAGCGAACTCGACATTTATGACCACAAATTGACACTGTGAGACATAGACACTGGAGAGCTACTACCTACAAGGCCAAATGTGTTTACAATCAGTTTTAGATAGAGTGTTGGCGTTCCATGTGAAAAAGGGCTATACGAAATGTAGGAGGAGGTGGCGCTCACGATGCGCCGAAGCAGAAAGGCGTCATAACATCGATCAGCACGAACAGGGCTTTCACGATCGCAAGACTATCGACTTGAAACGTTCCCTATACTCACGATGAGCGTTGCCAGCATCTCACACATGTCTTGAAGGACTTTTGCCGCTGGGGCTGGCACTAGAGACATAGTAAGCTACGCGTATATAGTACGCAGCCTCGACTTTCACCAGGAGCCCCTATCAAAGCAGTCTCAGAACGTCGTTACTTGAGTCCTCATATTGCAAGAGAGCCATCATGCACTTCTCTCCCCTCCTCTTTAGCGTCGGCGCTCTGGCAGCCACATTTACGGCCAATCCAGCACCCGCACAACTTACAGAAGCACTGCCTGCACTAGATGCAGGAACAGCCGAGCTAGGCCGCGACGCACTATCCGGCAACCTGCCCAAAAACCTTGCCAAGATTTGGATCTTCAGCAACCTCAACTGCGATCAAAACAACGGTCCTGCTTGGAACATCTACGTACTTCCCGGCGAGGACAGATGCATTCCGTATCAGAATGTTGGATCGATCTTCGCGTGGTACGAGTCTGATATCGGGTACGTTCTCAGGTTCTGCTTCAAAGGAGGTAAGCTGACGTGTGGTCTCATTTTTTTTAGGCATTGCACGACTACGATTCATAGTGGTAGTAATTGCAGAGGCAGCAGTATGACGCCGTATAACAAGATGTGCACTAGTGAGTTGTTCGCGTCGCTCAGCGTCTCGTGCCCTAGGGTGTAAGAGCATCGGTCGCATTACTCTCCCAAGTGTATCAA